TAGTAGTAATAATAATAATAATTATTATTATTATAATTTGTTTACATTTATTTATTTATCTTGTGTGTCTACACACACGTGCAGAAAGCTTGCAGGAGTCAATTCCTTCCACAATGTGGGTCACAGAGATTGAATTTAGGTAGTTCAGGTGGTCAGGCTTGGCAGCAGGCATCTTTAACCACGTCGCCAGCCCTCAACATAATTTTTGATAATAATAATAATTATTATTATTATAATTTGTTTACATTTATTTATTTATCTTGTGTGTCTACACACACGTGCAGAAAGCTTGCAGGAGTCAATTCCTTCCACAATGTGGGTCACAGAGATTGAATTTAGGTAGTTCAGGTGGTCAGGCTTGGCAGCAGGCATCTTTAACCACGTCGCCAGCCCTCAACATAATTTTTGAATTTTAAATTGAGTTGTAATGTTAAAGCATACAGAATGAGTACAAACACAGTGTGTTATTTTAGAAAAAAAAGAGTAGCTAGTTATGCTGGCATGTGTCCACTGTGCCCACTTATAACTGCTTTAGAGAATAACAGAAGGAAGTACTTGATGTCAGAATTCCAAGCCAGACTGGAAAATAGCAAAATATCCATCCTGAGAAAGGAAGGGAGGGAGGGAAGGCAGAGGTACAGTATGACCAAAGTTCACTTCTTCCTAATTATACTTTTTTTTTTTTTTTTTTTTTTTTTTTTTTTTTTTTTTTTTTTTTTTTTTGGTCTTTCTGAGACAGGGTCTCCCAAGCCCCAGCTGTCCTGGAACTCACTATGTAGACCAGGCTGGCCTTGAACTCACAGGGATCCGCCAAGTGCTGAGGCGTGTGCCACCATGCCCGGCCCCCTTCCTAATTATACTTAAAAAAAAAAAATTTTTATTATCAGCAGGGCATGGCTACAACTGGGGCTACAGAAAGACCCTGTCTCAAAACACCAAAAAAAAAAAAAATTTTTTTTATTATTTTCATTTTATGTGTATGAATGTATTGCCTGCATGTATATAATTGTACCCATGTCATGCAAAGACTGTAGAGGTCAGAAGAGGGTGTCAGATTCCCTGGAACTGGAGTTATAGACAGTTGTTACCCACCATATGGGTACTGGGAATTGAACCTGAGTCCTCTGCAAGAACAGCCAGTGTTCTTAACCACTGAGCCATCCCTCCAGCCCCTCCTAATTACACTTTTATAAAATTCCACAAATCTCACAAACAGACCTTTCTGTAGTCACCAAAGATTATTTCTCTAAACTGACAAAGAATTAACAGGTTAGTCTAGCAAATGTCAGTGTTCTGAACAATAAGATAATGTCTTGTCTAAAACGGTTTAAGAGCATAAAAACACAAGAGGAGAAAATTAAAACAGTTCTCTCTCAGGAATCGAGTTGTTCAAAAGCACCGAAGTATATCAGGGCATGTTGAAGAAAGAACACTTTGGGAAAACATCTGAAAAGACCCACATATTGAGCCTGGACTTATCTCTGAGCTCAGTTTAGTAGCAAGTAAAGGCTGATGGATAAAGCTGAGCCAGGCCTTTAAAAGAAGGCTCCCGAGGGGGCTCAGCCAGGCGTGGTGGCGCACACCTGTAGTCCCAGCACTCAGGAGGCAGAGGCAGGCGGATCTCTGTAAGTTCAAGGCCAGCCTGGTCTACATAGTGAGTTTCAGGCCAGCTGGGGCTACAGGGAGACCCTGTCTCAAAAAGACCAAAAGAAAAAAAAAAAAAAAAGGCCTCCATGGGGCTGGAGAGATGGCTCAGTGGTTAAGGGCACAGACTGCTCTTGCAGAAGACCGGGTTCAATTCCCAGCACCTACATGGCAGCTAACAACTGTCTGAAACTCCAGTTCCAGGTGAATCTGACATCTCTGCAGCATTGGATGACACTGATCCACTTACATACATGCAGGCAATACACTCATACACATAAAATAAAAATAATTAAAAAATGAAAAAGAAGCTGGGCGTGGTGGTGCATGCCTTTAATCCCAGCACTTGGGAGGCAGAGGCAGGTGGATCTCTGTGAGTTCAAGGCCAGCCTGGTCTACATAGTGAGATCCAGGACAGCTGGGGCTACAGGGAGACCCTGTCTCAAAAAGACCAAAAATTAAATAAATAATAAATAAATAAATAAATAAATAAATAAATGGTCTCCAACACAGCCATACAGAAATCCTACAACAGGCAACTTTTTCATCCTTTTTATTTATTTATTTTTCCTTTCAGCTCTTGACATTCAAAGAAATCTGTGAAAAACAGGTAAAGGCAAATGCCTTCAATCCCGGCACTTAATGCCTGCCCTCTAAGGGGGCAGACGTAGGCATACTAACCACATACATAGAGGACATATATCGAGGGCATACGTAGACCCTCTGAACAAATATTTGGAAATGTTACTAATCAAATGGCAAACCACACCCTACAACAAAGAAAACAAACATCAAACCCTATAAAAGAGGGAAACTGACTTTCAGAGGGGCTCATAACACTCAAATGTGGAGCTGAAGAGATGGCTCAGTGGCTGAGCACATGTCACTCCTCCAGAGGCCCTGAGTTCAATTCACAGGACCCACATCAGGTGAGATTCACAACTGCCCGTAACTCCAGCTCCCCGGAGATCCAATACTTCTGACCTCTGAGAGCACCTGTACATGCCTACACACGTATACACATAAGGGAAAAAAAATAAATCTTAAAATAACTCAAAAGCTGTTTTTTGTTTTGTTTTATTTTTGACAGGGTCTTACTATGTAGGCCTGGTTGGCTGGCCTGGAATACAGAGATCCACCTGCCTCTGCCTCTGGAGTGGTGGGATTAAAGGTATAGGCCATCACTTCCAGCCTCAAATGCTCACCTTTTACTTTTCAGTTTTATTATTTGTATTTCATGTGTATGGGTGTATTACCTGCATGCATTCAAGTGCACCCCTGTTGTACAATGCCCTTGGAGGCCACAAGAGGGAAGCGTCAGATTCCCCTGGAACTGGAGTTACAGACAGTTGTTATCTACCATGTGTGTCCTGGTATTTGAACCTGGGTACTCTGCAAGAGCAGTCAGTGCTC